AAACACATCAGTAAATAAATAAATAAGAAATCAACTTAAAGTTGAAGTCTTTCCGATGCAGGCCTAAGTAAAATGGTCGTAGGGCCTCCAGGTTGCGGTGACGCGACCTGGGGCCCCTTATCCAACCTCGGGTCCCGTGAGGGGCCCGTGTGGAGGCTCTCAGCATGTAACACTCTCTCTCTCTCTCTCTCTCTCCATAATTACATATGTCTTATCTACGTCCCTAGCTTGGAAGGTAGCTTAAGAAGAAGAACAGTTTTCATGAACATCACTGGGATTTCCTAAACATCATGTCATGCAATGACATGCATTCATAGTATTTTCGCACTATTCAGGTTTAAGTTTATCTTCAGTGTCATAACACTCATTTGCACGAAACATAGACTCACATTCTAATAAAAAATTTGTACACTTTCTATTAGAGTGAAGACTCAAGTCTCTGCTCAGACTCACACCCAATCTGACACCGATTTTGAAGTCCTTAAACCACCAGCACCTCCCATCCTCTCTTTCCCAACTTGTATTCGCACTGCGCACCAACAAACAAAGAATCTCGAGCGTTGCACTTTTTAAAAGTTTTTTTCTTTTTGCCTGATGGTGCCAACCATTTTGGTCCGGTGGCACTGTTCATCTGAAGAACCTGGATTGTCGCACTTTTGATTCTCATCTTGGCTGGGGCGGGGTACTGGTGGCTTAAGGACCGGTACATCCGTTCCTCTTTTTTACGAGGCGGATTCCAACTGTGCGCCAAGCTTTGCCGAAATGTCAGCGCGGCTTCCCCCCCCCAACTTTTGTCTGCCCGCACCAGCCATTTTGGTCAAGTTACTCCTGAGCCTCTGATTTTTTCGGAGAGACTCAATCGTGATTCTGGACTTGGCTGGGCCCATGTGCTGGTGGTTCAGAACCCATATCACACAAATGTAAGGACCTGCCAAAACGCGGACTGAGAACACAACTGACTTCTGAGTTTTGCCGCTAGAATGTATGCCTTGCTGAGATTGGCGCTTTTTGCTGAGTTTTCTAAGTCTGTGTGTGTGCGTGCTTGCTGGTCTGCGCACCTGTCTGAGTGCTTGTCGGCTTGAGTGTGTGTGTGACCCACAAGGGCACTTGTTCATTTGGGAGGCGCCGCAGGGCCGGTACTTACCTGTGACCTGACTTTGAGGCTTGCAGCGTGGAAAACACTCAAACAGCGGGAGTAGGCCTGCGACACTTAGAGCAGAGGGGAAAAACACTCGAGTAGCAGGTAGGGTGGTACCACTCCAGTAGCGGTAGATGTGTCCGGGACTGGAGGCCAAGCAGAAGAAGACAAAAGTTGGCATTTTTAGAGGCCCAGCAGTTGTAGGCTAGTTCTAGGCGGGTATCAGTCCTAGTAGTCTGAGTCTAGGGCCTGTGCGGACGGTATCAGAGCCTGCAATGATGTTTCCTTCCGAAAGGGAGGACGTACCGGTTGCTTGGAGGCCGCACGGCCTGGAAGTCACCGCCCAAGAGGCAAGTTGGCCGCTATATCTCCCGGCTGAGCGAAGAGCTCAGCCTCATTTTGCGGCGTGCAAGTTTGGGGACACGCTGCTGGAGCTCTTGGTGGAGCGCTCCTGAGTCCAGCGCTGGCGAAGAAGAAGAGCGCCCAGCTCCCCACCTTGGATATGGTGCAGGAGCTCAGGCTGGAGGAGGAGGAAGAAGGGACTGGGAGAGGGGAGCGCCAGGGCTACTTACCTGGCTATGGTGGACGCCATCTTCATCACCTTGGTGGATGCTGCACCTGGAAGACCCCCGTTGGGGTAGAGCAGCATCAAGAACCTTCGAGGCAGAGTCAGGCATGGCGGCCTGAGTGGAAGCGGCCATAGCTGCTTTGCGTTGTCTTTTGCATAGCAGGACAGGGCCTGGTAGTCTGCCATAGCCTCGGCGTAGACAAAGAGGAAGGAGAAGGGAAGCCATGGCTATGGTGGACCTCAAGTTGTGTTGGCAGTAGAAGAGGAATTCGGACATTGATTCTGGTTCTGCCATTCATCACTAGTATTATTAATTATTGTTTGAATAAGAGGGGAGGAGAAAAGGAGGATGAGTTTGGTTGGCGAGAAGAAGGGGGATTATCATTGGTCTTTGCTGGTGTACATCTCTTCTTCTTCTTCTTCTTTCCCTCTCTCTCCTCTCAAGTTCATTTCTTTTGCAATTGGATGGCATTGTGCTTTCTCGTGAATTTTGTACCTCGAAATTGGACAGGATCGTAACACCAACGTGATTGGATAATCAGATGTGATGGAGAACGATAAAGAGGGACATGGGGAAGCCCTGACGATGGTGATGATGATGATGGGGGAGGAGGAGGAGGAGGAGGGGGAAGGGGTGGAGAAGGAGGAGGAGGAGGAGGACGAGGACGAGGACGAGGAGGAGGACGAGGAGTGAAGCAGACACCGGTTGGATCGAAAGGCTGTCCAAGGCAAAAACATATCGGTGGTATGTGATAAGTCAGGATCCGTACTCAGCGGCTTCCCGTACCCTTAGGGGAAAATCACGTAGGCCTCGGAGTACGGGTTTTGGATGATTGGGAAGAACGGGGTTTATTTTTCCTTTTTCTCCTTTTCTCTTTTTCTTTTCCTTCGTTTTCTTTCTTGAAAAGAGAAGAGGGACGGAACAGAAACTTTTTTTTTTTTCCGCCCCTGATGACTTTCTCGCGTGGCCGGTTAGCGACCGCACCGAGAAATCCAAGAAACAGTTAGGAATTAGTATGGGTAGGAATTTTCAAATTTTTGTGCGCGTGGCTGTTTTTCAATTTTTTGCGCGCCGCGTAAACCCGTTCCCCTGCTTTGCATCCCCGCGCCATCTTCCTTTCTTGCCGCGCATTTCCTTCTTGCATGCCTCTTCGTCTTGCCTCGAGCAAAGCCTGATCCTCTCCATACCCATCATTGTGAACGATTGACTGTGTAAGTGGGATGGTCGGATCAATGTGGTGAGAGCGGAAGGCGCGTACCACTTGAACGACCACCCCAATCACACAGATCGCTCAACTCGCCTCCTCCAATCCTTCTGGAACCCCGGCCCTTCTTCTGCCCTTCTCATCTACACCCCATGCTACCCGCACCTCGCGCTCGCTCCCCGCTGCCTTACGCGCTATATTCTCAGAATTTCTCGCAACCCCTTCCTCTCCCCCTCTTTAATCTCGGCTGCAACGCTGCACGAGCTATGCACGAGGTCCGCGGCGTCGAACAGGCTTGACGAGCCCAAGTGACGGGCGGAGCGACGACGTGGGGCGGGCTTAGCGATAGACTTGGGGCAAGCCAGTCGGAGGGACTGAGCGGTGGTGGAGATCGGACGCCAGCAGCGGCAGGGCCTTGTGGCTATGGTTGTCGGAGGTTCTGAAGGATTGGGGGCTGGACCCAAGGCGGCCAGCCGTGTGAGAAATTTTGTGTACTAAGGACTTGCTTTTATCTCCATTGCTGCTTTGTCTCCGTGTGATGTGTGTGTGGTCCCGATGCATGGGTATTCTATCGTATGCATGCGGTGGTACGAGAGTTTATGGATGAATTGAATGTCTCATGGTCCAGGAGGGCTTGACGAGTATGTGTGTGTGCGCGCTTACAGGCGCGTTGGTGGGGATTGCTCGGTGTTGACCGTCTGTATGAATGCATGAGTGTGTTGGTCCCTCCTCCCTTCCCCAATCCCTCTTTCGTTTTTGACGCCGCGTGTACACGGAGGACTTGCGCCAACCCCCCCCCCCCCCCCTCCCCCCCCCCCTCTCTCCCTCCCCCCCCCCCCCTCCCCCCCCCCCCCCCCCCCCCCCTCTCTCTCTCTCTCTCTCTCTCTCTCTCTCTCTCTCTCTCTCTCTCTCTCTCTCTCTCTCTCTCTCTCTCTCTCTTCGTGCGCGGATCGGGATCCAGGCGAAACGGGTGATTTCACTCGATAACCGGAGAGATCATTCGTTCGCATCTCCGCGACGCGACTGGTATCTCCGCAACTCAACAGACCCCGGATCCCCGACTCAGCATTCGGGTTGACACAGAGAGAGAGCGAGAGAGAGAAAGAGCTAGGCGGGCCCCTTTTTGTTTGTTTCTTTATATTGATCTTTGCATGGAGTCCACGCTCGTCCCTGAGGACGCAAGCACAGGCCCTTGCCCGTGCTCCACCTTTGTGCCGGTCTCTCGCAACGTGCTACCGTCCTTTCCGATCGCAGACGATGACAGCGTGTACTGCAACTCGGACTTGCGGAGCGCTCTGAGATGGACCGAGCAGATCCAGCTGCATAACCCCGTCAGGGCCTGCCATATCAGAGGGAGTGGGTTTGTGTTGATTGATCGGTTCTCTTCCCCTCCCCTGATACTACCCTACACCGATGTCACGGTGTTGCCCTGGTCAGCAGCATACGCGACGTGGCAGCCTCGGTTTAACTGTCGCTGGTGTCGTCAGGGGGATTCGTGTTCCTGACGGAGATTAGTCGTGGGATACGAAGGTGCGGCTCGGTTCCCAGAACTCTCCCGCAACGCGGGCGCGCTCCCGACTAATTTTCGAACTTGGGTCCCTTCGGTCTACCCCGCCCTCGGCGACCCGCGCCAGGATGTCCGCACGAGCTCCACGAGTCTGACGCCGAGGGCTGAGATTTCCAAACCGACCGCCCTAAGATCCGCACGAACCGGGCGCCCCAGGGAACGGAAAACCTTGTTCCCCGTCGTTTTCTTCCTTTCGTTTTTCCGTCCTTCCCTTTTTGAGTGTTTCCCTTTCCATTGATGGTCATACCGGACTGAGCTTTCTTCCCGTCCCTTGACCTCGACGACGGCTCGAATCCCCAACAAGGCAACTCTCGGCTCGAAACAAGAATCCCCCGTTTCACCCGGGTGATTCAACCCCATGGCCAAAAATCCTCAGCCACACCCCCAACTACTCTGATCGGGGTTCGGAGTACGGAACGCCGCGCGGGGTGCGAGGTTGCGCATCACAGGTACGCGATCAGGAATTCGAAGTTGCGAAGTGCCGCAATGTGGGCTAGTGTCCCCTTCTCATGAAAACTCAGAAGTTCCCAGCCCATTCAATGTCCTCTTTGCACATCTGGAGACTTGTGAGTCTCGCAACGAGGTCCCGATTATCGTAGGGAGAAGACCCGAAACCTCTGGGAATTCCAAAGCCCTCAAGAAGACAAGACAAGACAAGACAAGACAAGACAAGACAAGACAAGACAAGACAAGACAAAAGGTAACCCTGCTGGTTGCCCAAAATGAGGATCAATCCCCTGGTTGCAGGGTAATCAATGCTGGCAGGGAGCCTGTGTTCAGCTGTTTAATTGTTCACTGGGACGCTGGACCTGCTTTGCAGCAGGTGCAGCTCCCCACCAATAGATTGGAGCAACCTGGCAATCCGCTAGAAGGGGGTGCTCTTATCACCCCTCCTAGCGGTATAGCCGTTTTAAGCAGAAGAAGAAGAAGAAGAAGAAGAAGAAGAAGAAGGTGACAGCTTGGGTAGGGAGGAAGGTAGGTGATGACTCTGGCATGGGTTTTATAAAGTAAGGCAAAGAAAAAGGGACAAAAAATGGAAGAGGGTTTGCATTCTTGAGAAGATAGATAGGATGAACACCTGGAAAAAAAAAAAAAAAGTTGGCACCTACCAATAGGAATCTCCGAGTATTTGCGACAGGGACTGGTGTAGGCCCCCTGGGGGCAGCTCCTGGGCTCCAATGACATAAATATCAGGTCGCCCTTTTATGTTGACATCAACTGCAGAGCCAAGGATGACCTCAGAGAGCTGAGCCAGGTTGACCATCTAGTAGTACGACCGAGAAAGAGCGCCGCCCCCCACAACAACCGCAAGCGAAGATGTCTCACTAGATTCGTACAGTACACACATAGCATATACACAATGAGTTTGAAATTTGAAAGCAACTTGACAAAACCATACTTCAATGACAGATGATAAAATAGAGTCAATAGACCACCCCTGCTTCAACATTGTTGGCCATCAAAACATCTCAGCTGATGAAGCCCGTAAGAAGTTAAGAACATCAGTATTGAGTTTCTTTGTGTCGCACCAGTGACACCACCATTCCAAACTTTAGAGTAGTATAGTACTACTATAGTCCATACAAGAACTCCAATAACTTTTTTGACTTTCAAGAAGACACACACAGTCCCAAGTTCCAACTTCTTCCTCTTCTTTTTTTTTTTTTTTTTTTTTAAGTACCAAACAGAACCTTCTGGTTCTGGCTCCTTTCCATTCTGGGGAGCATCAGTCCGGTTCCTATTCCCCCCGCAGGTCAAAAGGAAATACATATAGGACTCACGCATGCTCTTCCCCTTTATGGTAGGGAACCCGAGGGACGGCATTGATTACTTCACTTGTGAAGGACGCACCACCCTTCACCCCTGCCTAAGTTAGCCTGCTTTCTAAGATATGGGAACAAACCTATTATTGTGGTCTCTGATAACTTGCTTGGTGGGGAGTCATCTGCCAGTTCCTCTCCGTTCCTTGACTGCCTGAAACTCTTTAAGTACTAGAACCGCATACTTGCCCCTCCATTTAGATTTGTTGATCCTTAATCCTTCTCCAACCTAGCGTCTAATGTCTATGGTTGAGAGTGAAGTCTATCCTACCTTGTTTAATTTACTCTTCTACCAGCCCTTACTGTTGCCAAAACCCTAAACCCTAGCTAGTTTAGCTGGTCTGGTAAACCCCTACTCGACTTCTCTAACTATGGTCTGTCCCCCTTATTCTAGGATTCTCTCTCCTTGCAAGCACATACTGCCCTTTTGGGGAGCTTTTTGTAGGGCGGAGCTGGTACTGCTAAGCTGGCTTGCGGAGAGATTGTGTAGGATCATTGCAGGTCTGGGTTAGGGTGGTGGGTGTTTATTGTGTTTGGCGGTGAAAAGTCGTGTCCTGTGGAGTGTGAATAGTGCTTAGGGTGGTCAGTTAGAAGATAATGGGGCTAGGAGTATGCGGGGGGGATGTGAAGGTTTTGAGGGTTTTATGGCAGGAATAGGGTTGCTGGAGTAGAAGTCTGTGGGGGGTGGGTCAAACTCTAAAATTTCTATGGTCGTTAGGGGGTGGAATATGGTGAGTTCTTCGTTTTCTATTACTTGAGGTTGCCTTCGTTGACTTTGATCTGTTCTACTGAGTCTTTGTTGACTTTGTTGTAGTCTACTCCTGGTTCTTCTATATTGTGCATGGCGAAAGTGAACCAGTTGATTATACCGTCTTCCTTCCTTATAAAGGCTAGAGCGTGTTCATGGGGATTCATTTGTGTCATAACTGCCCAATCTCCTGTTGACCACAGTTTGTCCTTTTTGAGAGTTGATATCCAATCCAACGGAATGGCATTTATCACCTGTTGGAGGTTTTGGTTTAAGTTGTGGCACCCTTTTAGTTTTTCTCTGAGTTGTCTAGCCGATTGCCAGTCCTGTTTAGAGTCATCCCAGATATGTTTGATTTGTCAGATGCCTCTCTCTACCCAAGTGCCCCATCTTGTGTCTTTTGACGTGAGAGTGAAAGGTTTGCTTTCGTTGTTGGCTATCCATGGGTTGCAAAAGAGAGGTTGTCTAAGGATTTCTTCTTTGTTTATAGGTTTCCTTACTTTCGCCGGAAAGACTTCTCTCCACGCCTTTAATAGCCTCTTCCAGAAATTCAGTCTTGGTTCGTTTTGGAACTTATTTTTCGTAGTCCAAGTTTTGCTTAGGATCCAGAACGTACCCTCCATGTTTTCTGGTGTATTGTAGATCGGAATCCGTTGCAACTTTTCTAGTTCAAACGCTCTCCACGGTAATTTAGAACTCGTTAGTATCTTTATGATCCACTTGGATTGGAGGGCTTCTATTTGGTTAGCTGGGTCAAGGACGCCTAGGCCTCCTTGGCTTTTCTTTCTTGTTACTTATTGCCACACCACCTTTGTGATAAAGCTCTGTCTTGAGGCAACTCCTGTCCAGATGTAAGTTGCTGCGTTCTTTTGTGAGTCCTTTAAAACTCTTTGGTCTGGGGTCCAGAAAGCTGCCACGTACCACATCATCGAATAGATGGATGCATTCAGCACTAATGCCCTGCCGTGCAAAGAGGTGTGAATATTCCCCAGTCATTGAGTTTGCTGGTCATTTTGGCTAACAGACTTGGTGCCATTTTTGTTGCTGCCCCCTGAATAGACATCTGTATTCCTAGGACTCTTAGGGGGTCGTTGGGGTTTGCCCAAGTCAGACCTTTCGGTGTATCTCGGTGTGGGTCTAGGCCCTCCTCTGTTAACCACCAGCCTACTGTCTTGCTCCAATTGATGCGTATTTCAGAGGCTAGCTGAAATGCGCACATTGCGCTGGTGAGTGCTTCGAAGGATGAGGATGACGCTTTTATGAGTACGGTTAGGTCGTCGGTAAACAAAATTGTAGGAGGAATATGGTACTTGTGTGGATTTAGTTCGGTTTGCTAGGTGAGTCTGTGAATAGACGGGTCTTTCCTTAAGAATGAGGCAATGGCTTCCAGGATAAAGAGGAAAATTGGGGCTGCCAGATGGTCTCCTTGTCTGACTGATCGGGACATTTTATATTTGTTAGAGATGGGACTGTTGACTTGTACTGCTCCCATTGCGTCATTGTAGAGGACTCTCACCCATTTTCTAAAGTTGGGTCCTACTCCCATTGTTTCCATGCACTTTTGCAGGAAGTCCCAGTTGACTTGATTGTATGCCACACACACACATGCACACACACACGCACACACACACACACATGCACACACACACGCACACACACACACACATGCACACACACAACGACAATCATTTATGTAATGATAATGATTATGCTTATTGTTATAGCTTCCTTGTGTTGCTCTCCTAAGAGTTTGTCTGCTTTTTTGAGAGTACCGAATCCCAGTACCTTTAAGTTGTGCCAAACAGTCGGTCCCTGTTTGGAGTGCCAACAACAATGTTAGGGAGCGGCTGTGTTTTTGATGGATGTGCCTCTGTGTTTTCCACTGGCGATAGCCATTCATCGGGTGGCTTCCTGGCTCTTGATGGTGTGAACCTACAGTCTGCTGGGTTTTCCATATGATGTGAGTAGGTGATAGTCCACTTTGTTCTTTGCTGCGTCTATTGGTTCCTGTGTTGCTGCATGTCTTGCTGTGTTGGAGTCCTGCCTGCGCACCCACCTGCCCTCCCCCTTGCCTTGCTGTCCAGTGCCTTGCTCCCTTGCTGATCACTGTGCTGCTTAGCTGATGCAATGCTGCCTTGCTGCCTTGCTGCCTCGCTGCCTCGCTGCCTTCTGCCTTGCTGCCCTGCTGCTTGCCGTGCCTTACCTTGCTGCCTTGTTTGCCTGCCCTCCTGCCATCTTGCCCTCCTGCCCTCCTGCCCTTCTGCCCTCCTGCCCACCTGCCCGCCCACTTGCCTTGCTGCGTGCATGCTTTACTTTGCTATACATTGCCTTGTCTTTGTCGTGCTGCATGCTTTCCTACCTTCGCCCTCCGCAACAGGGTTTGAAGCTTGGTTATGACTCAAAGCATTGTGAGGGGATCCTGCAGACTGTCGAGGGTTCGGCCTCCTGACGAGTCGGTGCAAGTCGGACAAACAGTCTATAACTACTCTTGTGTGCATCCTTGGGTGTTGCCTGTTTTTATTTGTTTCCAATAGCAGGCTCATAGGGCATGTGAGGTTGGGCTGCTTATGGGCGGATCTGTCATACGGTTATACCACACATCCTTTTGTGGAGCAAATGGCATAGCATGCTATGGGATAGTCGGCAACACACACACACACACACACACACACACACGTGCGCGAACACACACTCACGTGTGTTTTGTGTGTGTGTGTGTATTTTCTGTGTATGTGTATGTGTGTGTGTGTGTGTGTGTGTGTGTGATATGTGTATGTGTGAAGTGGATTCATGACTCTGAAGACTAGTTTCTTGGACTTACTGCCATTCTTTTCAGGGATTTGGACAGTCAGTCTGCTAGGATTGGAAGGTTAGTGTGACAAGCACTTTTCCCTCGCAAGGGTATCCCTACACGTGGGCAAGGTGGTGGCGAGTCCTTACTCATCAGTCAAATGCATCCTGGCCAGACTGCCGGGCCTCAAGCACCTGATGGGTTGGTGAAAATCCAACAAACCAGTCTGGCGCAGTCATGCTTCTTTTGTGTTGTTTGTAGTGCGCACACACACAGACACACACACACACACACACACACACATATCATCTCTCTCTCTCTCTCTTGTGTAGTGAACATGACAATACACACACACACACACACAGATAGACAGACCCGACAAAAAAACAATATTTTTAACTGCACAGTTATGCTGGAGTCTTGTTATGCAGGAGAGAGTACGTTTTGTAGATGGATTCCGGGTAATTATCGCCCTCCACCACACAGGCTGGACACCTTGCACTTAACAAGGAGCCCAGTGTTTGTTTGTGGCCATTCCCCTCTATTGATTTACGGAGAGAGAGTTGAGTGGTCGGAACAATCCAATGACTGACAGTTCGCCAGATCCTGTCAGGAAAATGACTAATATTTTGACGCCAGGTACAGCTGATTGAGCGGGCGGCAAAGTCGTCAGTCAAAGAAGCCTCTTCTCAGTATTGCCGATATCCTCCAACTCAACAAAATGACTTCTATTTTTAGAAAAAAGAAACAAGAAACAAAATAAACAGCCTTGATGGGAAAAAAAAAAAAAAAAAAAAAACCAGCTTTTATTTTGAATCTCCTGATTTGAAGAAAAAACTTCAAAAAAGCAGAAAAAGTGGCAATGCGTTTCCGTTTTCCCTTTTTCCCTTTTCCCCTTTTCCCCTTTTCTTGGAGACATGTTGGACAAAATTGAATCATGCTACTCCCTCTAGTTTTTGACTTGCAGATTGTGTTCTCCACGAGAGTAAAGCCTCACAAAAGCTGCTGCTTTCGTTCTTCTTGAAGCGCGTTTATTTTTGATTTTTTATTTATTTTTCCAAAGCAAGATGGTGTCTTTCGCTCACCTTTTTCTTGAGATTCCAGGTCAAGACGTACACGCTGAAAGTCAACGCATCCAAGCCCTCTTCTCCTCCATCGTCAATTTCGCAAGCCGTTTTCAACTGTGGTGAAGATGGAGAAGGCCCCATGTCGTCATCGTCATCCTCATCCTCATCGTCATGATCATTGGAGTGACCAGGGAGAGAACGAGAGCTGCCATCTCTCTTCTTCTTCTTCTTCTTCTTCGGTTTTGTCGTTTTGCGCTTCGTCTTTGCCTTCGGCTTGTCCCCCATCTCCCCATCTTCAGAATGCCAGCGACTGTTCGAATCGTGACGAGCTCTCCCAAGGACCACCTCCTTCCGACGCCTGCCCCCTTTCTCCTCCTCCTCCTCCTCCTCCTCCTCCTGAGCATCATCATCATCATCAGGGCTTCCTAACTGCTCCGCTTCGTCATCCTCCATCTTCCACTGTTGCTGGCGAGTTAAGGGCTTGAACCGTCCCGCCTTGGAGGCCATTGAAAAAGAATTGGATAGAGCTTCCGGACTGCAATAACAAATCGTCGGATGAATAGCAGCAGGAGCAGCAAAGAGGAGAAAAAGAAGAAGAAGAAGAAGAAGAAGAAGAAGAAGAAGAAGAAGACGGAGGGGGAAGAGGAGGAAGAGGAGGAGGAGGGGGAAGAGGCGGAAGAGGAGGTGGAGGAGGAAGAGGAGGAAGAGGAGGAGGAAAAGGAGGAGGGGAGAGGGAAAAACGGGAGATGGTGGTTATCTGATTCTTATCTTCATACTCGGCGGAGGAGGAGGAAGAGGAGGAGGAGGAGGAAGAGGAGCAGGAGGAGGAGGAGGAGGAGGAGGAGGAAGGAGAGAAGGAAGGGAAGGAGGAGGGAAAGGAGGAAATGGAGGAAATGGACAAAGGGAATATGGTGGTTTATCTGCTTCTCATCTTCATACTCGGAGGAGCAGCACTGCAGCAGGAAGAGGAGGAAGAGGAGAAGGAAGAGGAGGAGGAGGAGGAGAAGGAGGAGGAGGAGGAAGGAGAGGAGGAGGAAGGAGAGGAGGACGGGCAGGAGGAGGAGATGAAGGAGATGGTGGTTTTTCAGCTTCTCATCTTGATACTCGGAGGAGGAGCAGGAAGAGGAGGAAAAGTAGGAAGAGGAGGGAGAGGAGGCGATGTAGAGGAAAATGAGTATGCGGAGGAGGAGGAGGAGGCGGAGGAGGAGGGAAAGGAGGCGATGGATAAAGGGGAGATGGTGGTTTATCTCCTTTTCATCTTCATATTAGGGTTCGCCTTCGTCACCAGCATCTGCCATTGTGTCCCAGATACTGTCGGTCCCCCTCTTGTCTACAACCTCGACCTCTTAATTAGTGTATATTGCAATCTCAACTGCTTAAGTAGAGTATACAGTCTCAAGCGCTTAATTAGTGTATGCGGTCTCAGCCACTTACTGTAATTAGCGTAAACCATAAGCTTCATAATCATACAACTGCCGGCTGTTGACTGATCGATTTCGAAAATAGTCCGATCTGCCCCCACCTCACAACAGTTCTCTCTCCCATCAACTCAGCCGTTATCCATCGGTGCAAGAAATCCGTTACGATTAGAGCGAGATTGCTTATTGCCATTCCACCTTCCACATCCTCCTCCTTTTCCTCCTCCTTTTCCTTTTCCTCCTCCTCCTTTTCCTCCTCCTCCTTTTCCTCCTCCTCCTACTGCTCCTCTTCCTCCTCTTCCTTCTCGAGTTGTGCCCGTACCTACCCCGTCGTTTATCCCGCCACCTCTCTCTCCCTAATCAGTCGATACGTGATTGGTCAAATCGAATGGATCGGTTGGTCAAGTAATTAACCGAATCACTCAATAAGCCAACAAGTCAACGAGGCAATCAATGAATAATAAAAATTTATCAACGACCATTGTATTGACAGATGAACCATCCCACCAACCAATCAACCAACACCGACAAACCAACCAGCCAATCAATCAATCAATCAACCAATCAATCAATCAATCAATCAATCAATCAATCAGCCAATTAACCAATTAATCAATCAATTAATCAATCAATCAACCAATTAATCAGTCAATCAGCCAGTCAGTCAGTCAGTTAGTCAGTCAATCAATCAATCGATCAATTAATCAATCGAACACAATCAATTAAAACCCAATCAATAAAATCATTGACCAATCAATCAATCAATCAATCAATCAATCAATCAATCAATCGATCGATCGATCGATCAAAATCGGTCAATCACATCTTCCGTGGCCAGTCAATGAATTCCCTTCATGGAGTAAACATTTAGGGTTGGCTATCTTTTCTGCTTGCATACCTTTCCTTAAAAAGAAAAAATAATACTGGCAGCAGTAATAAAAATTATAAAATTGAAAAAATAATTTTCTACTTGACAATAAAACCGTACTATTGTGGACTGAAAAAACAATAATTTTCTACTTGACAATAAAACCGTACTATTGTGGACTGAAAAAACAATCTTCTACTGGACAATAGAAACGTCCACAATAGTACGGTTCTATTCGAATAGAACCATCCACAATAGTACTTCCCTTCTCCATTGCACTACCGTCTACCCTCGAATAGGACGTACAATCATTATAGCTGTATGTATTTGGGGTATCTTTCAGTCCAAATACAGCAGTAATGACCCTATTCGTTCTGTTCGGGGGCAGAAGGTAACGTCACCTTTTCGGTATTATCAGCCCTCCGACGACCAATCGACGTTCTGTTCTGCTAACGGTGTCTTGACCCCAACTTGGTACCCAGTTCATCCATTTAGAACGCGTATGCGCTGTATTCGCGAGACCAACGGTAGCCAAGGGTTGTACTTCGGCAAATGAGAAGGTCGAGAAATTGGCCAAAGTATAAAAGGTCGTAATAACACCGGGAAAAAAAAAAAAAAAAAAAAAAAAAATTATTTTATTTTTAACCATTCCATTATAGGCCGGAAAACGGGTTGGCTGGAGCTGATAAATTTATCATGTCTGCCTGCCAAGTTTTTTTTTTTTTTTTTTTTTTTTTTCCAGACTTGATCACATGCAAGTCCAGTTTTTTCTTTAAATTTCAAAACAGATTTTTATTACATCCAAGTCCAGAGCTAAGGACAAAAACACAAATGGCAACCGGAGGGGGACCTTATTTGAAAAAGCGTTCCTTTTTCTTTTTTTCTTTTTTTTCAGTTGTGACTTGTGAGAATGTAAAAGTGAAAATGCCTTGTTTCTTGATATGCAGCCTCGGGCAATGAGTCGGCCTTTTCTCCTTTTTTTTTTTTTTTTTTTTTTTCCCCCTAACTAAAGGAGTGGGAGCATCACCGGGCTTAGTTTTGTGTAATCGGTCTGCCTTTTAAGCAAGCAAGAAAGATCAGGTGAAGTATCGGTTCTGATCAGTTTAATATCTGATCTGTGGTCCATCGAACCACATTATTATAAAAAAAAAAAAAAAAAAAAAGGTGGTGTCTTGAGAGAAAAAAAAAAAAAGGGAATGCAAAATTGCGAATGCGTTTTTTTTTTTTTTTGAGTCCGAGCGTAATTTAAAAAAAAAGAAAAAAAAAGAAAGCATCTGTGGATCATGGGATATCCCTTGGATGAAGGGAAAAGGAAACCTTTTTGAGACTGGCGGCCCTTCAATCCCTTTTTTTATTAATTAATTATTATTATAAAGGGGAAAAAAAAGAAGAGAAAAAAACACCGGGATTGAAGGCCAAGCCGATTGTTTCCCATCTTGTTTATTTGTTGAACTGGGACAAGAGGAAGGATTTCTTTTTTTTTTTTTTTTTTTGAGGAGTTTCTTTCGTAGCCATGCTAATTAGTCCTCTCGGTATTGCCCCAATTCTCAGGGATGTCCCGGAGCATGCTCCCATTAGCAACGGGGATTGGATTACGATCCTGAATCTGGGCGTGTTTTAGGCAGAGATGCAGAAAAGGAGTTGAATCTCGATTTCCTGCACTTGTCCACAAACGCGGCCAAATTAAGGGGTTCAATCCAATCCTCTTCCCTAGTGGGACCTCGCCCCCGAAGGATGACGCGCACGGATCGAGAAATGGTCCAAATTATATATATATATATGTCACAGCCCCTCGTTTGTTGTCCTCTTCTCCCTCTCTGCCTAAGTAGTTCTATTTGACGATATATAGTGCTGTGTGGCATCTGTTCCCAATTTTGCTTTTATTATTATTATTGATTTATTTATTTATTATATTTTTTTTGCGGGCGACAGGTGGAATGGATGGATGGTGGGGTCTGGAGGGGTTTTATGATGTTTGCAGCCCGACGGCCGCAGTTACGATTACAATGCGCTGTTCCAGGTTCACTTCGGACCGTTCTCCTTTCTTTTTTTTTTCGGGTGGGAATAAGGGTCAGGAGGGGTTACAGGTTGTGACTTGGTCGGGACCGTTCACTACCGTTCAGTGTTTTTTTGAGAGCGTAGGACCCGTCGATTTGTACCCGGACCGGTCCTTCGGAAAGAAAAGGAAGCAGTGGGCGTGGGCGGGGGCGGGGTTGAGGCATAGAGTACGCTTGCGCACGTGGGGGTTAGCGCGCCCTTGACATGGGCGGCTGATCTCTCTTTCCCTCTCAGTTATTAGTCACACAGCTCTCTCTCTCTCTCTCTATCTATCTATCTATCTATCTATCTATCTACTTTGTGACGATATATATATATATATATATATATATATATATATCGTCACAAACAGAACTGCCCGGTAAACCGTAGGCAGAGAGAGAGAAGAAGACAACAAATATATATCACAGCCCCTCGTTTGTTGTCCTCTTCTCTCTCTCTGCCTACGGTTTACCGGGCAGTTCTGTTTGTGACGATATATATATGTTTGACGATATATATATATCGTATATGTATATATATATATCGTCACATGAATATCAGAGCGCAAAAGCGAAAAAAAAGAAAAAGAAAAAAAGAAAAGAATGAATTCGTTTTTTTATATCTTCTTTCTTACAACTCCCCCTGTTCAGAACCTCTTGCGTACAAGGCCGCCCACGTGGATGTGGGTTGAGCGGCGGCTGCCCCCACCCCCGTGTGTCATATCGAACCACTTGCACACAGCCAAAGGGCAAAGAGGCAAAGAAGAGAGGAAGGAAACAGCCAAATACAACAGAACAAAACAGGGGGCAATCAGCAACAACAGCACAAAAAACGGATCCTAGATGACCAGTCCCACATGCAAGCACTGCCCCAGTCCCACACATGCCAAACGACGGGACAAGACCACCCAGGACAAAGCACTCTTGTCTGCAAAAAATGAATCCCATATACATATCTAAACATAAAGGAATATCCCAGATTATGATTCCCACATACAAGCACCCCCCGCCCCCTCACACAGGCCGAACCCGAACAACGGCAAGCAACCAACCAGGATGCCCAAACGATATAAGAAAACCCGGATGACTGGTCCCACGTGAAAGCAAAGTCAAACAGAGAGAGCTGCCCGGTAAACCGTAGGCAGAGAGAGAGAGGGAGAAGAGGACAACGAACGATATGTACACCCTGCAGGTGGGTGCAATTGCCGCCCTTCCCCTCCCCCCCCCCCCCCCCCCTCTCTCTCTCTCCCTCTCTCTCTCTGTGTGTGTGTGTGTGTGTGTGTGGGTGGGTGTGTGAGAGAGTAAAACAGGAAACAAAAAAGAAAAGAGGGAGCCCTTAGGGCCGTGGTTAGGCAGGCTTTTTTTTTTTGCTTTTTTTTTTCCCACAAGTTAGCCAATCTTGGGACTACAGTGGTCACTGATTTTTTATTGGGCAAAGGACCTCGCAGATCGTAGGGCTGGTCGTTCAAACCCAAAAAGAGATGCCGTGGGCAGGCCTTGAGGCTTTAGTCCTGGACATCATCAATTCGTGTGTCTGTGGCGCAGACGCGTACGTACTGTCTTGACCTTTTTTTTTTTTTTTTTTTTTTTTTTTTTTTTTTTTTTTTTAACACCCCCTCCAGTGTTAGTGGTGCTGATAAGAGCAGACACCAATAGCACTGTCGGAGAGGCTCCATCTATTGGTGGGGAGCAGCACCTGCTGGAAAGCGGGTGACCCTGCGAAATATGCGTTCGCCCTTCTGGACCAACGGCCAGAAGTTGACACTATACTCGACTCGACTTGACTCCAATACGTGATGCGACTTCTGCATTCCACCCACTCACGCTCTCTCTCTCTCTCTCTCTCTCTCTCTCTCTCTCTCTCTCTCTCTCTCTCGCTCGCTCGCTCGCTGTGTGTGTGTGTGTGTGTGTGTGTGTGTGTGTTCTTTGCAGAGCAGCGTCGTGTTATCATCTGGCAAGGGAATTGAACTCTTGACCTGCTCCCCAAAAAAAATGCGTGGCCAGCCATGATGCAGCATATCTGGCTCAGTCCTGTTGTGTCCGCTGGATGTGCGTAGAAAAGGATTCAAATTATTATAGAAATAACATGAAATCATTCGAAGTATTGTTCGTTCATCGCTGTGTCTCACCAGCGACACCAGCCAAACGTGTGATTACATCCAGCATGCATGCACTCGAGATATGCCATTCCTTTTTTGAAGTTTTTTTATTTATTTATGTTTTCCCGAAAAGATTGTGGCCGCTCCTTTACGTTTCCACGTACGAGATCCAACGTGCGATCGACGATTTTTTAATTAATTAGTAATTAATTAGATAATTAATTAATTAATTAATTAACTAATTAATTTAAGTACTACGGTGTTTGCTTGCACTGATGATCACATCACTTAATGGCTGCTGATGCGAGCGGAATTCCAGCGGCATCTTTTTTTTTTTTTTTGGTAAGATAATTTAGTGGCATCTTAATTAATGAGGATTGCCAAGTGATTCATCGATCGTTACTGCAGTTCAGCAAAGACGAAGTCACTCAAGCTTTACTACCTTCGTCGGCGGAATTAGAACGCACCGTCATTATCGCGGCGCTGTATCTAGCGAACAGTTGGTCCAAATACAGCTGCAATGAACGTGCGTTCTATTCGAGTGAGACGGTGGTTAAGGTTATTCTAGCTAAACATTTGATCGTCTCGTCTATTGAATGCATCTCTTCTCTGATTGCCTTTTCGTTCGTCATTGTAAGACAATAACGGCGTTGAATGATTTATCCTCGCTGCCATCTGCGGTCTCCCTGCTTCATGCAACGGGCTATTCCCTCTCCGGTCCCCCCTGCCCCCACACTTCCCCCCTTTCTGCCACATTTCAAAGATCTCTCTGTCTCACACACAAACATGGACACACACACAGAAGAAGAATGAGCACGCGCCACACACACACACACACACAGAGAGAGAGAGAGAGAGAGAGAGAGAGAGAGAGAGAGAGAGAGAGAGAGAGAGAGGTGGGCAGAGGAACGAGTGATCATGATGATGATGACCGTGATGAGGACGATGATGATGTTCCTCCCTCTCTCTCTCACGGTGCGTGGGTGTTTGTCTTCGTCCAGAGAGAGAGAGAGAGAGAGAGAGAGAGAGAGAGAGAGAGAGAGAGAGAAACTGTGCATGCATGCGCACGTTCATGTTACTGCGTGGAGCGAATTGTCTGTGCCGCCCTTGTCATGTCTAAAGGGCCAAAAATGAACGCAACTGCACATGCGCCTTCTCTCTCTCTCTCTGTGTGTGTGTGTGTGTCTGCACATCGCGCATGCCGGCAAGCTAAGAGAAGTTGCGGCCAGGAAGATGCACTTTTATTTTTCTCGTGCCCCTACCGTCTTCTCCCGAACATAACGCACCCTGATTCTGAATGTATACAAGCCATCTTTCTGGTTGGATCCGGTCATAATGAGGGTGCTGTGTTCGGGGGAAGACGGTAGTGGTTTGGCGAGGACATATGTCAAAAGTTTATGCATTTACCGACTGTTGAAGATTGCGTGTCATCCTTGCGCAGGGGCCATGGTGTGTGTATTGTTCCAATTTTATCGGATGTCCCGTAGGACAGCATGTTTGAATCTTTTCTAACTCATAGATACTATCTTTTCTTCTGTTGTTTAGATCATTTTCAGCATCGTTCATTATCGACCCAGAGAAGAGATGGGAGTCTTCACAGTCTGAAGAATACAGATTTTGACCAGTTTATTGCCGCCTCTGACAGCTCTTCGTACTGTTGGAGACAGTAATGGAGGGCCGACATTGACTCCTTCAAGTTGGCCGACACCGCGAAGAGGTCGTCCGCTAACGCTTTGACCTTACAGGCATGGCCACCCAGGTCGATGCCCACTATCTGTGCATGATTCCTTATGTTACTCAGTGGGATCTCCAGGTGTACGACGAACAGTGAAGGGGCCAAGGGACACCCTCGGCGTAGCGAACGGGAAAGCTGAAACTGCGCTGAGATGTGCCCGTTCACCATCACCGATGCTGTCGACAGCGAATACAAGGCCACTACCCAGCTACAGAACATGTCCCCAAATCCTATCCACCTGAGAGAGGTCAAAACGAAGGACCAGTTCACCTGGTAGTACGCTTTCTCCATATCTAGCAATAAGACCGCTACGTCCAGTTCTTCCTTGCTTACCACCTCCAGCGTTTCGATTGCAGTCACAATGTTGTCGTAGATTGAGCGGAATGCAGCTTGGTCGTCCTCCACCAGATTCGGCAGGTGTCGTCCTAATCTTCGAGCTAGGACCTTGGCCAAAATCTTGTATGACACGTTGAGAAGGGAGATTGGTCTCCAATTCCTAATCTCATTCGTGTCTCCCTTCTTGAACAGAATTGAGATGATCCCTCTGCAGGCAGTGGTAGGTAGCCTTACTCCCATTTGGATTTCATTATAGATCTCAACTAGGTCTTCTCCCACCACCTCCCAGTGTTTCCTGTAGAAGTCCACCGGGAGTCCGTCCTCCCCCGGGGTTTTCCCACTGGCCATGACCTTTAACGCTTCCTCCGCCGCTTCCTCTTTGGTAACCCGTCGGTCCAAGTCTAAGCGGCCTTGTCTTGAAAGCCTGACCGTTGTATTCTGCCAGTGATCCGAGTGCTGGGAGAGATCCGTGTCTGCGCCTTCCCCCTGTCTTCGTGAGGTTAAGATGTCCCTGTAATACAGTGTTGCATATCTGCATACATCCTCAGGGAGTGTTGCCACCTGTTCGTCCAGTTCGAAGGGGTGTTTCAGCTCTTTCATTGATGGATCCGTCCTTGCCGGAGCCAGCTTTTGAAAGGATTCCTTCGACATCCTGTCGTACACCTCCAGCCCCTTGACCTTGATTCTTTCTGCCCACTGCTCTGATTTCTCCTGTTGCTTCGCGTCCCACTCCGCTAACCTTCTGGCTCTCTCCTTGCACCATGTCAATTCTGAGATTGGATGTTGTTTCATCTTGTCCTCCGCCTGCTGCACTCTCGCCCAGCACCTTCGTTCCTCCTTGTTTCTGTTGTTGGCCAGTATGCGGAAAAAGACGTCTAGCAGATTGGACATAATTCTGATCCCTGTGTCCCACTAGCCCGACAGCAGGGCGAAGTTCCCCTTTTGTCGTTCCCACCTCTTCCAGTACTCCTGCGTCCACTTAGAAAGTTGCTCCTCACGTAGGTTCAAAATATTTAACTTAAAGTATCCCCTACCCCTTGACAGCTCCGTACCTAGATTAAATACCTCGATAATTGGCTTGTGGTCTGAGATTGGGTTGTTAGTCTCTGAAATACTAACGATCCTCTCTCTAATCTTTCCCCCTGTTAGCAAGAAATCTAATCTCCTCCCCTTACCCTAATGGGAGAACCACGTATAGCCCTCCTCCACCAGGTTCAGGGCCCGATATGCGTCCTGCAGTTCCAGCTCAGCCATCAAGTCAACCAAAGACAACAGGTCTTTTGGGGCTCCATTTGTAGTCTGATTGTGTGGGGCGTCTAAGACCATATTCCATTCGTCACCAATCACAACCTCGTCTACATCTGGAAGAATCACCCTCAGTTCTTCTAAGAAGGAACATCTTTCCTTTCGATCTACCGGAGCATAAACCAATACCACCGCCCATCTTAGATTCTCTTGAGACAGAACAATCCAAGCCCACCTGCCCCACAGGTCAGCATAATAGTCCTCAATCGTAGGATTCGTAGCATCTATGCCCCTATGCACCAATGACAAGATAGCCTGGATAAGGAAGAGGCTGGCAACCCTTAAAGGATCTGAGGAAGGGGCGAATGACTTCTTCCTGATCCATCCTATCTCCTCATCGGTCTTTACAATCATCTGCATGTTTGATGCCGATAAGAGGATCATGGACAGCTGGCGCAACATTCGCTGCGGTAGATCAGAGGTGAGAATTTACCCTTGGGCCCCTCAATGCCAGCAGAGGCCGGAGGAGAGGAGGGAGCAGTTGACATAGTACTATTGGGTGGAATATAGGCATGTACCCATAGAGATCCAAGCAACCTTTGTGCAAGATCTCGCTCAAAAGTACGACATAGTGGACTTCATTGAGCCACTCCCCCCGTATGTAGCCAGACGAGACGATTACCTTATGGTGGCCATTGATCTCCCCAAAGACCATGTATTCTGCATCGACGATGTCATACCCTTTCGAATAGGGGGCCGGGAATACAAAATCCACAGCTCATAAGACCCGACCATGGTGCTTCAAGTGCCACATCTATGGTCACTTGGCAGCAGAAGCGGACTGCCCCCATCACCCGGCAAAGAGGGTCAAAACTATGGGACGTCTACAACGGGACCCCTTTAAGAGGACACATTGGCGAACGGTGAACCCGGGACACGAAGGCTGGGTCTATATCGATGAAAAGAAACAGGAAGGGGGGGTGAGGGGATGGGAATGGGAAGGAAAGGAGAAAGTATTATAGGAAACCAGACCCCTGGTCAGCTGGGCCCCTCCGCAATCAGTCAAAAAACACATGGATGCCCTCCCCAAACTCCCAGCACCTCCATCACAGAACCAACACGCCCAACAGATCCAAAAGAAGAGGACTAGTGAACCTCGTCCTCAGGACTATGTCAAGAAATCGGATGTGGTAGGATTATGGCAACAAGTAAAGAAAAGCAGACCACCACAGCAGAAAGAGATCAGACAAGGGCAAGGAGATGGAAAACTGCAACAAGTGAACGGGGTTAGCTCGAACTCTAATCAGTTTTCCGTCCTGGGCACAAACCAGATGGAAGTGGAGAAGATGGCCCAAGAGGGATAGGGGAACCAACTCCAAAAGGAAGGGCAGGCGACAGAAGTGAACGAGGCTAGCTCGACCTCTAATCAGTTTTCCGCCCTGGGTACAGACCAGATGGAACTGGAGAGGACGGCCCAAGAGGGACAGGGGAGCATTTTTCAAATCAATTTGATTTCCTTCCTCTGCTTCAAGAAGGGCAGGCGACAGAAGAAGGGGGGAAAGGACCAGGTCCCGCACAGAGCAAGGCCAATAAAAAGAAAACGGGGAAAGGTGAGAAACAGGGGAAAGAAAAACACGCAAAAGAAGAGAAGGAAACACCAGTGGGAAGCATGGACGCTGAAAGAAATCCGGAACAGACCTCGAATTCCCCATGGCCAACATTATCACCCTCCCAGGGGCAAGACCCTTTGGGCCCAGCCTTTGGGCCCCAACCAATGGAGGTGGACAACCCTCCCCCCATACCAGAAGAGGAGATGGCGGACACAGGAATTGAACAACAAGACTTCCCCTTGGCCAAAGGGGACACAGAGGCAAAAGTCCGGGGGCTAGCGGATTGGCTTTTGGACCACTTGCGCCCACAATACCAGCATCTGCCCGCGACCTGGTGGGATGACGCATATGTGCACCTATTCACCCTGTTGGATAACACCGAAACGCTGAACCGGGCCTTAGAACAAGGATTACCTCCGGGCACAAATTGGCAAACAACCCTGCACCGAGTATGGCATATTGTACAAGGGTTACTCCTCTGCCCTCCACAGCACAACGACCATGAACACCCCCCCGGCGGACCGGAACACCCGGAAAGCGGCATGGAACGTTGTCAGGGGCAGGGACAAAGTTGCCAAGACCCGCCCCAACATGAGACCACGCAACAAGCACCTCCGGAAGAGGCAAAGGAAAGCCAGGAACCGTCCCGCAAATCTAAATTGTGCCACCTGGTGGAAAAGGGTCGCCATGAGGCGGCACTGGCAGAGGTTGGCGAAGCCCTGGTGCTTCCAATCCGAAAAAAAGGGGGGAAATGGGAACTGGGACTGTCCCCGGCTGACCACAATGACCACACCCCTAGTTTTGGGGGGGTGACCCTCCATGGCTGGCGACAAGACGACCCTGGGGGGTTTGGAACGAAGAAAGTCAAAGACTTTGTGGCAGACCATTACGAGCCCGGGGCCACGGCCTCCCTGATCGCATCAGGGGGCCCAAACAAGGTGGCAGACTGGGACGTGTTTGTACTCTTTGAGGAGCATAAGGAGGCCGGCCTCACCTGGCAACACACTGTTGGAATTGCAGAGCCTCAAGGTGAAACCGAGCCACGAATGGTCCAGGGATGACCTGATCACCTGCCTGTGTAAGATCGCCCGCAAAGACCTCTTCAACGGCGAAGTAATATGGGATCAGCAAAATTGGCAAAGGTTCTAAAAAGGGGGGGGAATCTTATTGCCCGACACCCCAGGCAGCAAACTCGGGGTAACCTAGATGGATTGGGTGGCAGCGCTTTATGGAAAGAACCGCGCATGGAAACAAACGCTACAAACGACAGATTTGGATCTCAGATCTATCAACGTCCATGGTCTGGCTTCCACCTGCCATGAAAAAACGCAAGCAATATGGGACCTTCTGAGAGGGGTGGGAGGCAGAGTGTGGCCGGACGTAGTATGTGTTCAAGAGACACACTTAACGGACACACCCAATCACCGTAGGGCTCTCAGGTCGGTCTGGCCATTCCAATCATACCACGCACACTCCCCGAGACCAGGGAGGGTGGGGGTAGCAATCTGGGTTCCCCCTGACTCAAGACTGGAGGTGATCCATTGGGAGGCGGACAAGGAGGACAGCGGGTGGATATCTATATTGGGAATGTTAGAAATGCACCAAACAGACTACGAGAACGCAGAGCCTTCCTAGAAAAGATTACCGCGATAACGCACCCTAACATCCCCCTGATCCTAGCCGGAGATTTTAATGCAGCCCCCGGTAGGTGGCTCGATCGTTGGAAAGTGCCCCCGTCCACGGTAAGAAATGTGGAAGAGGATGAACGGATGATGAGAGAGGTGTGCGATACCTTGTCACTTTTCGACTCCTTTAGACGTCAGAACCCCACCGAACGGGTTTTCTCATGCATAAGGAACAACGATCCAACCCGGCTATCTAAATCCCAATTAGACCTGATCCTTATAGCGGATTCGCTTGAAGGGGCCCTGAACATGACGGCCATACTTCCACTAAGCCCTTTTTCGGGGTTGGACCATAAAATGTGCATGATCGCGCTGACCTTCCGCAAAAAACCTGACCATGGACCAGGATACTATAAACTGAACACATCTCTTCTACGATTAAATTCCTTCCAACAATATCTCCGGCACGCCTGGGATTTTTGGAAAGAACGACGACCTGAAATAGATAGCCATATTACATGGTTTAACAATGACTTAATCTTCCTCGCAAAGAAAAGCAAAGAGTTCGCCAAGAGTATGGTGTCACAAAGATACCAACAGGAAATTGAAACAATGTCCCAACTATTAGAACTCGAACAACAAGAACTGCCGCATGCACAGGAACCCCCAGAACAAGGGGAGATCACACGTATCCAAAACCTAAAAGAACAACTCCTGAGGCAAGCACAGTATCGCTGGCAGGGTGCAAGAATCCGGGCCAAACTGTCTAAACATAAAACTGAAGGAGCTATGGACGCACAATTCTCTGGCCTCGCACAAATAAAGGCGAAGCGCAACACTATCGAAGCACTATATGATCCAGACACTGACGAAGCGTCACCCGCTCTAACAACAGCAAGATGCATGAAAATAGCCCGAAACTTTTACAAAGGTCTATTCGCCTCACATGTCCCACTCACAGAACAAAGGACGCGTTACCAGTTAATAGGTAACTTTCTGGCGCCCCTGGACAGAGCACTCCCCCAGGACGAGAGGGATCGTTTCGAAAACCCCTCTCCAAGCAGGAGATCTGGACGGCTCTCATGCAAATGGAGGACGATAAGAAGCCCGGAATAGACGGTTTCCCAAAGGAATTTTGGGAAACAATGTGGGATCCCCTCAATTAGGATCTTATGGATTTCTACGCTAATGTATGGGAGACGGGGGTCATGGGGGAGATGGTGGGTAAAGGAGTGCTCACCTTACTCCATAAAAAGGGGGATAGCATGAACATACACAACTACAGGCCAATCACCTTACTAACAGTGACGTACAAATTACTGGCTAAAGCGCTGGCTAATAGGATGATCCCGGTCATGAATGAAATCATCCATCAAATCATCCATCCTGCGCAGACAGGTTTTATGCAAAATAGAAACATCCAGGAAAACATATTACTGGTACACGAGGTCCTCCAACTGACCAGACATTCGAACCGAAACGCCGCACTAATGTTTATAGATTTTGAGAAGGCGTATCACCATGTAGATTGGATCTTTTTGGACAGGTGCCTCCAG